TGGTTTTCGAGTGGTTTATTGGAGATAAGAGTCTCACGGACTTTCTTGCCCGGGCTGGGTTTGAACTGCGATTCTCAGATCTCAGCCTCCTGAGTAGCTAGGATTACAGGCGTGAGCCACTGGCGCCCAGGTGTCTTGAGTTTTTTTTTTAAACCTATTATGACATGCTTGAAGTAGTGTTTACCATGGAAGCTCAGGAGAAATTGAGTTCTCACAGAGCATCTGAAAATAAGCAAAAGCAGAGTGGACTGGGAACATGACTCAAGTGGTAGATGCTTGTCTAACAAGCATGAGGCCCTGAGGTCAAACTCCAGTTCCACTGCCACAACCACTGAAAAGAAGAAAAGAGGAAAGAAAAGGAAAGAAACCTAGACACAGATGGTGGCTCACGCCTGTAATCCTAGCTACTCAGGAGGCTGAGATCTGAGGATCATGGTTCGAAGCTAGCCCTGGGAGAACTCTGTGAGACTTTTATCTCTAGTAAACTACTCAGAAAAAGCCAGAAATGGAGCTGTGGCTCAAGCGGTAGCTAGTCTTCAGCAAAAAAGCTTAGGGACAGTGCCCAGGGCCTGAGTTGAAGTCCTGGGACTGGCCAAAAAAAGGAGTGGGGGGTGGGGGTGAGGGGTGGGGGTGGGGAGGAAGGAAAGAAACCTAGGCACCTTCTGCCTAGCCCTTACTGAAATTTCCAGGCTCCAAAAGGAAAGTTACTATGTTTGCCTTGCAGTTTAAGTGTAGCAAGCCATTATGATTGTAGTACTATAGCCCACATCCAAGTAAAGGACCAACCTTACAGAAATGTCAGTCCGAAGTGATTATTAGCCTGCACTTGAGTTGCACCATTAAAGGGATTTGATAGGGCTTCGGACTTGCTTTCTTTTTTCTTTATTTCATTCTTTTTTTAATTTTTTGGTGCTGGTAGGTGGCCTTGAACTCATCAGGGCCAAGGGTAGCTATTTTGCTTCTAGTACTCTACCACTTGAGCCAAGCTCCTCTTCTGGTTTTGTTGCAAATATTTTTGAAAAATTTGGTTTGAATATATTTTTATCTTAAAACTTTATTCACCTTCTCTTTTACTTTATGGAAGAGACTTAAATTTTCATACAGGCAAATCTTTTTCCTTTTATGGTTTCTAGCCACATTGGTGCTGAGAAAGCTTTTTCTGTTAGTGTACTATTATTTTTTCTAATTATACCACAGATTTTTAAAAACATCTTTCTCTAATTACAGTATTGTTTTTTAGTTGTGCAAATTGTGGATAATTTTTTTCTCTCCAGTGAGTAAAAAAGTTAGGATAAATACACCAGTCATTTTAGGAGTCCTGTTTGTGAGCTAATTTCTGATTTATTTTTCTATTGGTTCAGGATTAGAAAACACATAGGATGAACTAGCTCCCTCCATTTTTTGTTTTTTGTTTTTGTTTTTTTGGTTGTGGGTCTTGAACTCTGGGCCTAGGCACTGTCCCTGAGCTCTGCCACTTGAGCCACAGCACCACTTCTGGTTTTCTGGTGATTAATTGGAGATAAGAGTCTCACAGACTTTACTGCTCAGGCTAGCTTTGAACCATGATCCTCAGATCTCAGCCTCCTGAGTAGCTAGAATTACAGGCGTGAGCCAGTGGTGCCCGGCTCATGTTTTTTTTAAATAAAGATTTATTGGAACATATCCTCACTCTTTCGTGTGTTTTTATTTGCTTTAGTGATGTGGTAATGGGATTGAATATTTGGCACAGAGACACCATGGCTCATAAAACCATAAATACTATTTTCTTTCTTTCTTTCTATGTGTGTGTGTGACACTGAGCATTAAACACTGGACCTTGTACTTGCCAGGCAAACTGTGTACTAGCCGCAACAGTCCTTTGCTTTTAGATTTTCAGATAGGGTTTCATGTTAACTTTGTGAGGACAATTCTCAGACTGTAGCCTTAACTGTGCCTTCTAGAATTACAGGTGTGTTCTACCATGTCCACCTTCTTCCCTTCCTCTTATTTCTTTCTTTCCCTGTTATTCTTTATCCTCACTTTGCCCCTTCTCCCTCCCTTCTTCCCTTTTCTCTAGTAACCAGGGGCATGAAATAAAAATTACGAGACAGTATCTATTCTCAAAATGGCTGTTATCCAAAAGACAGAAAAACAAAAACATACAAATGTTGGCAAAGACACAGATTAAAGGAAACACTTACATACTATTTGTGGGAATGTGAATTCCCACAGCTGTAGTAGAAAACAGTATGAAAGTTGCCTGAGAAACACTAAATGGGACTTTTTTTGGGGGGGGAGGTTGGGGTGAGGGTCCGGTCATGGGCCTGAACTCTGGGCCTGGGCGCTGTCCCTCAGCTCTTCAGCTCAAGGCTAGCCCTCTATCACTTGAGCCACAGCGCCACTTCCAGCTTTTTTTTCCCCCTGCTTATGTGGTGCTGAGGAATGGAACCCAGGGCCTCATGCATGCAAGGCAAGCACTCTACCACTGAGCCACCTTCCCAGCCCTAAATGGGACTCTTATATGATACAGCAGTCCTACTATTATAGGGTGTGTATCAAAGTGAAATGAAATCAGTGTATTGAAGAGACATTGCATTCCAGGGCACACCACAGCACTATTCACAGACAGGGAATCAACAGAGGTGTCTGTTGACAAATGAATGGTTACGAAACGTGACACAATGAAATATTATTCAGTCATAAGAAGGAAGTCATACTGTGGTGGAAAAATGGATGGAACTTGAGGACATCATGTTTTTATGGAATCTGAAAAAGTTGATCCTGTAGAAGTAGATAGCAGAGTGACCATCGTAGACCTCTATGGGAAGCTGGTCACTATGGGCTCCTGTGGGTGGATGGTCACTGCAGGGCTCTAAGGGAGGGGAGGAGACTGACAGATTAGATAAAGCTGTCACATTGTTTGCAATGTTCTATAGCACAGTAGGGTGACTAGCTAAGAGGTAGGAGAGAGTAGGAAGCAGAAGGGTGGGGTGAGGTCATTTTGCAAGTACAAAACCCCAAATTAGAAGAAATATGTGGAGTTTTAAGTGTGCAGCAAGGTGACTGCAGTCAGTAATAATGCATTGTGTGCTTCATAGCAGCTAGATTTGGAATGATTTACAACTAAGAGAAATAGGATGCAATAGTTATCATAATCAAAGTGTTCACTTCCTGGCTGCCATGTATACTTTTCTCTATGAATGTTTTGTCATAACCTTCACTCAAACTTGGTCTTTTTCTTTTATCACTCTGATTTCTGGTGTGTGAATTCCAAATAGAGATATAATCCCTGTCACTTACAATCTGCAGCCCAAATACAGAAATCTTACTGTTTGGCCCAATGAACAGGGAATACCTCTGTTTTCTAAGCTAGTTAGGGCTCAATATCCTAATATGAAAACAATCTATAGGCTCGCTGTTTCTGTTCTGTTTGCTTTTCTCATGCTCAAGTACATGTGTCTGGCTTCATAGGGGGAAGAGAGATTTTTTTTTTGGGGGGGGGCTTGAACTATGGGCCTGGGCGCTGTCCCTGCACTCTTCAGCTCAAGGCGAGCACTCTACTGCTTGAGCCACAGCACCACTTCTGGGTTTTGAGTGGTTTATTGGAGATAAGAGTCTCATGGACTTTCCTGCCCGGGCTGGCTTTAAACCGCTATCTTCAGATCTCAGCTTCCTGAGTAGCTAGGATTACAGGTGTGAGCCACTGGCACCTGACTAGAAAATTGTTCTTATAATGAATGCTTCTTTAATCATATAAACTCTTTTTTTGTTTTGAATAAAGATGAGAGAGGAGATAATCTTAAACTTCTGTTAAAGGCAACAATGTATAGTGATTAATAATTTTAAAATGCCAACTTTATCTTGCATTATTAGTAGTATTACATTTAAATTCTTTGCCTGACTTTTAAGGCCTCAAGATAGTCCGTATTTTCATCTCTGATTTCTCCTCACAATTTGGTAGTAACAATGTATTACCACTATCGTTCCAAATTTACTTCCTTGAATCTCTTCATTTGCTTCTACATTCGCCTCTGCCTAGAATGGTCTATATAGCCAAACCCAGGGAAAGGAGCAGAAAGTATTTACTTAGTTCTCAAAGTAGGTTCCACCTGTTACCTTCTGTGTAAGTCCAGGTGTTCAGACCACTATGTCCCTTCTTCTTTGCTCCTGAAGTACTTATATTACCTCTGTTAGAAACATTATCTTTCATTGTTATGTATCCTTCCCACATGTGAATGTATATGCAGATACACTCACATATATACATTCATGTGGGACTATCCTTACATTGTCTTATCTGAAGACTGTGAGTTTTTTTTTTTTTTTAAAGAAAAGCTTCTGTTTACTAGTTGTTACCATAGCTGCAAAAGTCTTTTTTTTTTTTTTGTCCGTCATGGGGCTTGAATCTGGGCCTGGTCACTGTCCCTCAGCTCTTTAGCTCAAGGCTAGTGCTCTACCACTTGAGCCACAGCGCCAACTTCCGACTGTGAGCTTCTTGAAGGAGGATATCATAATTATCTTTAAAAATATGCCAGTCATTGTTACTATCTTTTGCCCTTTCCCCAAGGCACGTTAAGTAATCATAGATAATTGTGTGTGAGAGAATTATTAATTTACCTGATGGAGATTGTTTAGATCTATCTGGTGTCATGAAATCTGTTTTTTAAAAAACTCCTTGGACCTTTGTGGTAAAATATTTAATAGTTAGAATGTATGGAATATTTAAGATTAGAATAAATGGGCTTTATTTTTACTTCTTTACTGTTATGCTTTAATCCATGCTTTTTGGTGTTAAAAATTGTTCCGTACCAAAATGGATTATATAAGCAAAAAAATATATTGCTTTCTTAAGAAAATTAAAATCATTCATTCTCATGAAGTTTGATGAGATTTTAAGGTACTTTGGCATAATTCTTAATTAAATTGGAAATTTTGTTGTATTAATAACACTCTGTTCTATTGCATGTGTAATTTGTATCAGTTTCAGTAAGAAAGTAATTCATGTTGCTCTTTTTTTTCAGCAAAACCATTTACTTCTAAGGTGAAACAAATGCGATTACATAGAGAAGACTTTGAAATATTAAAGGTTATTGGTCGAGGAGCTTTTGGTGAGGTAAGAAATAAACTAAGATTTTATAGAATGTCTGCTAATTGTTTTCAAAAATGTTTTATGCAGTTTTCAGAAAAATTATAGAAATAATTACTTGCTATTGTAATTGATATTGCTGATCAGGAAATAGGCTAACATTTTGAATGAGATACTTCAGATTGGAAATTCATGTTGTTAAGTGTACTTCACATGAGCAATTTTATGGACTCCTTTTTGTGCCTTTGCTTTGTCTGTCCTCATGCCAATGCCACATTGTCTTAAATTGCTCTATCTTGTTAGAAAAGACTAGAGCTCTGGCTTCTCCTGTCTTAGACCCAATTTCCAGTTTATTCTCTCTTACAAAATGAGCTATGTTAGTTAAGTTTTAATAGAATGCTTTATCTGCATCTTTTGTCTCTTTTACTTAGTTATTGTATTGAATGGCGTTGATTCTTCAAATGTTTAACTCATATTGAGTTCCTAAAATAATCCCAGCATGGTTGAGAATCTATTACTGTTTTCATCTGTGAGTGGATTTGGTATGCTGTTGTTTTTGAGTGATTTTTGTTGTTGTGTTTGGGATCACTATTTTTTCTTTTCTTTTCTTTTGTTTTTAGAGGAATAGGCCTAAAATTTTCCTGTTTCTAATGATCAGTCAGGGTCTTAGTTATACTGGTCATTAGAAGAATGTTACCTCTGACTGTTTTCTAGAATTTGTGAAGATAGTTACTACTCTTTATTTATGTGCTTCTAAGTTTTCAGAGGTAAGGCTGGCTGGAACTGGAGATTGTTAGTGGACATTTAAAATAATATATTTAGTTCTGTAAGTGGAAGGAAGAGTCTGTATACTTTTAATTTAGGTGTCATTTGTCTTAGGCTTAGTCATACATCTGACTTTTTTTTTTTTTGGGTCCGGTCGTGGGGCCTGAACTCTGGGCCTGGGCGCTGTCCCTCAGCTCTTCAGCTCAAGGCGAGCGCTCTACCACTTGAGCCACAGCGCCACTTCCGGCCTTTTTCTTTTTGCTTATGTGGTGCTGAGGAATTGAACCCAGGGCCTCAGGCATGCAAGGCAAGCGCTCTACCACCTTCCCAGCCCCACATCTGACTTTTTAAAATCTTAATACTGTATTGGTCATTTGTTGATTCAAATGGCCACTTAGTGATCTCTCTTTCTTTTATTTGTCTTGCCTAGGGCATTATCAGTTTTATATTATTTTTAATGACCTAGCCATTGGCATTTTGAGTTTTGCTATTATAGATTTGTTTTCTCTTTTGTTACTTTCTGCTCACTAATATTTTATTCTTTTTGGTTTGAATTTGCTATCTCTTCTAATTTATTGAGAAAGGTTCTTAGGATATATGGATATCTAGCTCTTCTTTAAAATGTGCATTTAAATCTACTTTATATTTTCTCTTGATCTGTTATTTTCTGAGAGAATTGGTTTCTTTTTTATTTATTTCAGTTTTTGCTGATAAGAGCCATATCATCTGCCTGGCAGTGACCTTTTCCCTCCAATTGTTGTGGACTGTTCTGTTGTATCTCTCCATCTTTCTTTCTTCTGGGGCTTTAACTGATGGCCTTGTACCTGGAAGAGCTTCAAGTGCTCTTCCCCCGTAACCATGTTGCTAGCTGTTTTGCTTTTAATTTGTTTTTCAGATAGAGTCTAATGCTAACTTTTCCTGGTCTAGCCGTTAACCTCAGTACCCCTGTCTCTGCTTTCCAACTAGCTGGGCCCCATATCTGGTTATCAGTATTTCTTTAGTAAAGAGGACTGCTGACAATAAATTACCCATTTTTACTTGTCAAATATATATATTTGTAACTATATAAATATAGTGTATTTATGTGTGTATTGTCTTAAAATGTATTTTATACAAACTTTATATATATATATTTACTATTAACATTATTTACAGAAATTTATATAATTATATCTAATGTAAAATGCTTACTGCAATTATACTTAATCAGGTAATATTATATAATAATATTTATATATTTTTATAATTATATAAAATACATGTGGCTGAATAGATTTGTAGAGATTCATTTGTATGTACTTGTGTAGCCATAATGCTGGTCAAGATCTGGAATGTTTCCAGTAATCAGTCAGGTTTTCCTTGCCCTCTCTAAATAACCACTTCCTTGTTGACACTCTGTGCTCATAAATTTACATGCCCTTCTATTTTTTTATTAATGGCATTATAAGCCAGAGTCTATTGGCATTAGTGGTATTATAAGCCATAGTCTTTTGTTTCTGGCTTTTTTTTTTTTTTGTCGGTTGTGGGGCTTGAACTCTGGGCCTGGGCGCTGTCCCTGTGCCCTTCAGCCCAAGGCGAGCGCTCTATCGCTTGAGCCACAGCGCCACTTCCGGTTTTCTAGTGGTTTATTGGAGTATAAGAGTCTCATGGACTTTCCTGCCCGGGCTGGCTTTGAACCGAGATCCTCAGATCTCAGCCTCTTGAGTAGCTAGGATTACAGGCATTAGCCACCGGCACCCGGCTTGTTTCTGTTTTTTTTTGCTACACATTATCTTTATTTTCATTGGGTGAATGACAAATAAATGAATGAAAAATTCATTTGTATGAATAATACCCTATGTTGTTTATTTATACTAGTATTGCCTGTTGAAGTTAACTGATTTTTGGCCACTTAGAAAAATGCAGTTGCTGTACACCAGTGGCTCATGCCTGTAATCTTAGCTACTCAGAAGACTGAGATCTGGAGGATTATGGTTTCAAAGCCAGTGCAGGCAGACAAATCTTCTGGGCCCTTATTTCCAATTAACCAGCCAAATGCTGGAGTGGAAGTATAGTTCATGTGGTAAAACGCCAGCTGAGCAAGCATAGGGCCCTGAGTTAAATCCCTGGTGCCACCAAAAGAAAAAAAGGGAAAAAAGGAAAGTGCTGGAGGCATAGCTCAGTGGTAGAATATTTGTCAATCATGAGGCACTGTGTTCAAATCCCAGGACCATCCCCCCCAAAAACCCCAAAGAATAAAGTAATCACATGTACATGTATTTTGTGAACTATACACACTCATTTATGTTTTATGTGTCACAGAATAGACATAGCTAGCTTTTTTAGTACACAGTGCCTAATAATTTCCCAGGTGCTTATTGATGTATGCTCCCTTCAGTGAGTGATGCTCCAGTGTTTCAGTGTCATTAGCACTTGGCTCATTCGTTTTAACTTCCCCTGTTTTTGGTGGGTGAATGATGATATGTGGTATCATGTTGCATTTTCTTATCACTACCTTAGTTCAACACCTTTTCATGGAGCACATTTGGGACATGAGCACATTTTGGGGTTGGATTGGGGAGGTAGGAGCTGGGTGGGTAGGCTGTCTGGCTTACTGTATAAGTAATCTCTTGGGGTGTGTGTGTGTGTGTGTGTGTGTGTGTGTGTATAAAAGTGTTTTGGCTTTTCCTTCTCTTTATAGATCTTGTATTGAAAAGTAGTTCTTCCTTTTAGTGTGGTTTAATTAATTAAACTGCTCTTTATAATTGGTACTTTTTGTGCTCATTTTAAGAAATGTTTCTAACCTGAAGGCCATGAACATGTTTAATAATATTTTTAGAAATTCTTCATATAGTCTTTAAAAAAAACTTTCACATTTAGGGCTGTGATCTATTTGGTATTGATTATTTTGTGTTTTCTGAAGTGTAGGTGGGTCAAAGTTCATTTTATTCTTTGTGGGGTTATTTTGGTGTCACTTATTGTAAACATTTCACATTTCATTACAAAAGGGACTTTTCTTTATCCAATAATTTTTTTTTTTGGTTGGTCATGGGGCTTCAACTCTGGGCCTGAGCTCCGTCCCTCAGCTCTTTAGCTCAAGGCTAGCGCTCTACCACTTGAGCTAGAGTGCCACTTCTGGTTTTAGTGGTTTATTGGAGATAAGAGTTGCACAGACTTTCCTGCCCAGGCTGGTTATGAACCGCGATTCTCAGATCTCAGCTTCCTGAGTAGCTAGAATTATAGGCATGAGCCACCAGCGCCTGGCTTAGTCCAATAATTTTAAAAACAGTTTCATTGTAAAAACCTTGTTCATATTTCATAAATTTTTGAGCTTGATGTTTGCTGATAATTTTATTTTATTTATTTATTTATTTTGGGTCTGGTCCTGGGGCCTGAACTCTGGGCCTGGGCGCTGTCCCTCAGCTCTTCAGCTCAAGGTTAGCACTCTAACACTTGAGCCACAGTGCCACTTTCCGGCTTTTTATTTTTCCTGCTTATGTGGTGCTGAGGAATGGAACCCAGGGCCTCAAGCATGCAAGGCAAGTGCTCTACTACTGAGCCACTTTCCCAGCCCAATTGCTAATAATTTTAGAATGCTGTTTTCTAAGTTTTGTTTTTGCTAGGATAGAAATGCAGTAGATATTTTCATATGTTGATCTTTTAAAGACCTTGGCATTTTAACTTACTAATTCACATAGATTTAAAAAATTTCTTTCCCTGTACTTAGTCCTATTGTCTCTAAATAATGACAGCATTTTTTCTTTCCAATTTTTATGTTTTTCTTTTTCCTTTAATATTACTACAGAGAAGATGTTGAATTCAATAATAATTCAATAAAATGTTGAATTCAAGTGGTGACACTGGACATCTTTGTCTGATTAGTGAGTCCAGGGTTCTGAAGATACAGGAATAAACACACATAGTTTTTCCTATACACTCACCAACACAGAAGCCTCTTGTGATCCCAAACTTTTCGAGATTTCTCTCCATCAGCAAGAAAGCAGTTCTGCAGCAACTCCAGTTGAGTGTCCTTTAAATTAATTAACTTTGTTACTACCTAACTGGAGGTTGTGTCAAGGCTCAGGATGAAAGACTGCCCTAACTGTAGATATCGGTATGTCAGGACCTCTTGAACTTCTGACTAACTGGCTGTAAGTTTCTCCTGGGATTTGATTAAATCATTGGAGTGGCTCATAGCACTCTGGGAAACACTACCCTTCTTGAAGTGCCTTCTCTCCCTGCTCCTCCCTGTGTCAGCTCTTGGGAAGCTGTTCAAACTCTAT